GGGGGGCTGCAGAGACAACTTTTCTTTAAGCCACACGTTGGGCCTTGCCCAAGCTCAGCTCTAACTGCATCATTCCAGGCTGGTCTGAAGAGCAGGGAGAGCACAGGTGCTACACCGAGTCACCTCAGTTAAGAGCTGCTTGGGTTTAATCCACACCCTTTAGGATCCTCTGCTTTATGGGAGGAAGGGAACTATAAAAACAGAGTTGGGGAAAAAAAAAAAAAAAAAGCATTGCTCACATTTTTTAAAAGTTGCCTTAGGCTCTTATAAGTTACATAAAGTTGCTCCCATTCCTGTTGTAGTTATGGCAAAGTTATCTGAGGTGAATGGCACAAAGTGACGACTCCTAACTTGGAAAAGTTCCCAACCGGGGCCTTTTCACATAAAGAAAATCAGAACATAACCAACAGTCTGCAAATTAGGACATGACTCCAACATTTCACTGAGATCACGAGGATTATTCTGATACTTTGACAAAAAATATACAAACCACCTATACTTAAAAACAGAATAATAACTTGTAGATTAACAGAGTGGGAAAAAAAACCTGTTCTTGTTTCCAGTAGTTGCAATCATGGACTTCATTTAACCTGACACCTGAGTGATAACGGGAATATTTAGCTTTTCTGAGTATTTATTCCCTAAACTCATGACTTCTAGAAATCCTTCAAAATCCATCACTTCAGAAAGAGAAGTTAAAATGAGAGATATTCTGGGGAAAATTACTCCCTTTTCTTAACATTCTTCTTCCCCACACACACACATTCCCAATTTCCCACACACATTTTTAAGGCACTGCAAAGCAAGTTTTCAGGAGCTAAAACTACAAGGGAAACTGAATAGAAAGGATATTTTAAAACAACCAAGACAAAAATAAAAGCCATCCCTAACTAAACACAATGGCAAAAAGTTGGACATTTTTCATGTCTTTTATGAGCCAGAGAGAGAGGAATGATTAAAAATGTACCCAGGGCTCTGAATGCCATTTTACTGTCATTTCCTTTGATTAACCTTCACCTGACCTCAATCCCTGAGGCAATTCCAGCTTCTTTTTTGTTCTTTTATTTAAATTCTTTGGTACACCAGGTGAGTACATCCCTGACTGCAGAGCAGGTTGGTTTTGGGGAGGATTTCACAGAAAATGCTGATTTTTTTTCTGGAGAACCATTTGCAAAAAACCTTAACAGGGATGATAACAGGTCACATCTTCTCCAAATCTGGGGTTGTTTTACAATCCCTGTAAAATCATCTCATTATTTTTTTCTATTTTTTCAGGACCCTTGGTCCTGTTGGCTGGTACAGAATTACCAGCCCCATCAGTTCTCACCAACATCTCTCTGCATCTGGAATATCTGCTTCCTCATGACTTATAAATGTAACATGCCCCTGGAATGGGGGGAGGAGGGAAGCCAGCATGAATAAAAACTTAAAAAATAGATTATAAACTCTTGGCAGAAGGAATAGATCCACCCTTCAATATTTGCACAATAATCTTAAAGTGCAGTTCTTTCTTATTTTAAAACTCTCTATTTTTCAACAAGTCTCATGATCTTGGGGGTTGAGTAGAAATCATGGAATGCTGCATATATAGACTCTGTTCTTCAAACTTTAATGGGATAATTTAAAAAAGGACAAACTGGGATAGGGCAAAAAATGGACTTGATGATCTTAAAGGCCTTTTTTCAACCTAAATGTTTCTATGACTCTAAATAGAAAAACCATAGAAGATCTGTAAATTATGCCTGATGATGAAATGATGAGGAATTCTGACCAATTTACTTCGTCAGAGACTGATTTAAGGGATGAGTCAACCATTATCCATAGGAACTGATGTGATGCCGAGGCTTCTGATGGCACATTTTTAATCTGTCAGCAAAAGATTTGAGAGGTTGAACAGTCAAATTAGGACCAAGGGGCATAGTTACAGCCCTTAGGAACCACCATGAGCCACTGCACCAGCCCCCATTGGGATGAAGAGATTCTTCATCACACATGGCCTCTCTTATCATTCCAAAGAACATTCCTCAAAATTCCTCAGTGCACTCAAAGTTCCACAAGCAGAAGTTAGGGATTCAATGTTTGCTCTTCACTGCTGTCAACCCAATGTTTGATGATCTGTCTGCATTCATATATCAGTTCCATATCATTCACCCTAAATGAATTCTCAGGATTAAATAAATAAATAAATAGATAAATAAATAAATAAAAGGTTCCCAGGCATCAACATTTCTTTCAAACTGCCATCCACAAACAGGTTAGTTAAGATCAACTGGACTTCTTCCTAAATTCCATTTTCTTGCTATCTGTCCACAAAAAAGCTGAGGTTAAGCACAGACCTGTTGGGTTTCAAAATGACAAAATGAATTCCCCTGGCAATTTCCAAACTCTGCCTTTGTAAGGAGGTGATTTCTTAACTCTGATCCTCTCCTGGCACGAATTTTATTCTCCTCAAACTGGGAACAACGAAGGAGTTACAACGAAAGTCCTGCAGATCTGAGTCCTGAACCTCTTCTGGTCTTAAATATTTCATAATATTCATAACACAATTAATAGACTCTTAAAACTGAGCTCGCCCAAGCTCTTCTTCCTTTGCATTTCTAGCCACATCCAGCTCGGGACTGTCTAATCCAGGACATCCTGCCTGGTTTTCCATCCCAGCATCTCCACTGAGTCGTGCAGTGGAGTGTCCAGCTCCTGAGTGACAGATGCCCTCACCTGATGGAGCTCAGCGCTGGAAAGGGGGAACAAAAGGCTCGGGAAGCGCCTCGGGGAGGGAGGTCGGGTGGAGGTTAATCGAAGGAAATGACAGTTTGATGGTATGCACGGCCCTGGAGATTACATGTGTTATTTTGTTGGGAAATATTTAACTGGTTTATCTCTATTTAGGAAGAAAAATAAAGTGGATATATGAAAAAAAAAATGCGGGAGAAGTCACAGGTGCCTGTTAGGCCAGGCGGCCTGGCATGGGTGGGATGCAAAGAAAGCTCAAGGATGACAATTCTTCAGGTGGTTTCAACACATTATAAACATTTATAAAATGTTTATAAAACATTTTGCAATCATAAAACACTAAAGCATGGTAGCTGGGGAGGTCAGGAAATTCAATAAACCTCTCATTTCCCTTGCTCCCAGATTTACCCCCAGTATTTACTAGTTTTCTCCTAAAGTGGGTGCTGGAGCTAAGAAGGGAAAATTCCAGCTGGAAAATGCTGTAGAAGTCTCAGAAACTCATTTGTGTCTTGTAATGAACTTGGCTTGGCCACATTCCTGCCTCATTTGCATTTCCTTTCCAGCCATTTTCATGCACTCAGAATTTTACTTTCAAGAGTCCTTTCAAAACCTGATTTTAAGCTTGGCTTGCGTGTGGAAAGGGCTTTTTAAATACACTCTCCTCAAATATTTGATCATGAAATTTATTCTAGTATTTGTCCTCAATTAATTGGGGAATTAAACCAAGACCACATGACTGATCAATCACAAATACGTAACACACCCTGAATTCTGATTCCTACTTTTGATTAAAAAAAACACTCGACCTAATCAGTCAACAGAAAAATTTTGACAACTATTTTTTTTTTTCTTGTTCATTCTTCCTACAGAATAAAAGGCGAAAATTCACGGAATGAATTATTAATTACGAGTTATTCATCCAGCACTACTAAAAACTAATCTGTTTCTCTATTTTTTTTTTTTTTTTAAAGCATCAAAAAGGTCTTTCAAACAGAGGTGGCAATAATGAAATATGGCAGCAGATCTTGAAACGTGCCCTTCCCCAGGCTGTGGATACGGAAAAGGTTACGGTCCCACAGTTATTAATCCCCCATCACACTGACAATTGATTTTGAACACAGTCTGTTGGAGTCTTTATAATGCAAGATCATAAATGTTCAAAACTAATTTATTGCTCTTTGTTCCACCTGGCAAAAATCCACTGTCAGGTTGAGTTGTGTGGATGCAAAGGCACAGATGAGGGTTTAAGTCGTGGGTTTATCCACGTTTGTAAATTTGTTTGCAGTACTTGTGTGGTGGGGGGCGGGAAACATCCACAGAGGGTTTAGAAACATCCAGAGAGGGTTTAGAAACATTCATAAAGGAGTTAGAAATGTTCACAAAGGAGCAAAAAAAGAGGAAGAGGTTATGCTGCCATTACTCAATATGAAATATTTGCACAAATAGACATATATTTTAAATTTGATGGGGGAAAGCCCTTATTTGTATTTATTGGTATTGATATTTTTGGTTTGCACACTGTTCCCTGGTATCTCTCAGATTTTCATGAGGGAAAATGTAAAAAACTTGCTTTATCCACATATTGACTTATATACCAGGCAAGGATTCCCCACACACCAACGAGGGATATGCAAAACCTTCCACCCTACAAGGCTTTTTCCTTCTTTTTTTTTTAATTATCATTTCAAAGCCTGAACCAATTCATCCCGAAAATTCCTCAACTTACCTTTTGTTGCCCCCTCTCTGCCCATGCCAGGGAAGTGGCAACCCCCAAAGAGGGACAAATCAGACAGAGAGGGAAGGGTAAAAGGGGAGAGAAGGATTTTGCACTGATATAACACACTGGTTTGTAAAGATTAAGGCTTTTTAAGCATCAAATAGAATATATTACAGGGAAGCTTATTTTAAGGATAAAAATCTTCTCCCATAGACCAAACATTCTATAAGGGGTGAATTACAAGGTTTCCAAAGCCCTGCTGAGGGAGGGAAGTGAAACACAAAAAAAAAAAAAGAGAGAGAAGAAAAACAGCAGAGCATTTCCACGTTAAAAAATATGCCAGTCCCAAAGTCTGCTTCCCAGGCTCCAAAGGATTTTTTTCTCAGTAGAAAGATAAACTTGTAAAATGACCATTCTTTCCAAAATAACCACATAGTACTTCTTTAGCAGCACTTTTCACTCTTACATATTTTACAGCCCAATAATACAAACTTTGTCCTTCTGTTATCTAGAGGCATAATCATTTAATTGTCCTGGCAAGTTTATTCCTGATGAATTCTTATTTTTACCCACAATGAGGAACTAGGAGAGCTGTGTGACTGACTGCTAGAACTGCTGCATTCATGACTTGTAGGCATCTGTACGGTATTGAAATTAATTTCCAGTATAAAACAGTTAACAGAATAACCCCAGATAAAGGCAAGTATAATATTAATTTCATTCTTTTTGTTGGCAATGTTGTAAAGTCCATTGCTCAAGTAAAGAGCACTTTGCTGAGCCGGATACAAATTAATTTTACCATTCTTCTTCAAATAGGAATTTTAAAAGTCAACTAAAGGCTACAACAGCTTTGAAACATTTCAGTGATTGTTTTAATTACCTCTCATACAGCTGTGAGACACTGCAAAGGGAGGGGTGGAGAGGGAAGGGAGAACAACACCTGGCGTGTTACCAATTGCTTTTGTCACATAAAGAAGAAAAAAAAAAACAGTTTCCAAGCCCTCAGACCAACAAAAAGCTCAGCAAAGTCAACACAGATTGGGGTTTTTGTCAGTATGTTAATGTTGTGATTTTATCCTGGACTATGTGTTCTTATTCTGTCAATAACTACTCTCACTGTTAAACAAAACCACCAAATCTCCAAACATTAAATAGATGAATTCTGACAGCTTTAAAGCTTGTTTATCAACCCCAAGTTGATGCACACACTGCAGTGAGTTGCTAAAGGTACACGTGGGGCTTCTTTGTAGGGTTTGCTCTACAGCAAAAAAAAAAAAAAACAAACAAAAAACAAACCAACAGCTCGCTTCACTTTCACCACAACTACACAAAAAAAAAGTGCCTATTTTTGTCATTTCAGCCCTTAAAAGGATTGGAAACCAGAGGCTGCTGGGACTCTGCTGGCCTTTGGCACCCTGGCTGCCAGCACCTGGGGACTCAGTGAGCGCTGGGGTGAGCAGAGCCCCCCGAAAGGTGCAGTTGTCATCCCCACACTGCATCTGGGAAGGGGCAGGGACACTCCAGAATCAACAACAACAACAACAGAAAGGAGAAAGGAAACGGGGTGTTAGGAGCCGGGGCAGCACATTTGATTTGCACATGTGTCAGGAAAGATAGAAGGAATCGCTGAATTAAATTAAATCAAAGCAAACCTGCTAATTAAAACAGCTAAAATTATGTTTGTGAAGATGTGTGACTGGTTTCCTGCTTATCTGCAAATAAGCCTCCCCATAATATAAACATGTTTCTATCTCCACTTCATTTATAATAAGTCTTTAGGCAGATTGTAATTAGTATTTTGAGTTTCTAATGGATCTATTGTGTTACTGGAGCAATATTTTTCCTGACCATCAAAATACTGATTATTTCTGCTTCAGTCTCAAGGGTTCTCACCTGTTCTTCTCACGCTGGTCAAAGTCTTGCATCCAATTTATCTGAATCAAATTGTTTGGGTATGTGTCTGAATACCATCATCTTCACAACACATTGCTTGTAGTTAATCACATTGTATTCAACTCCACCTACAAGCCAAACCAGAAATTATTACCAATTTTGCTTGGGTTTTATCCTGTAGCTTGATTTTCATTCAACATTTAAAGAATGGTCATGACAGGGAACTAAAAAAAAAAACAAAACTAGTTCAAACAGAAGTTTTGTATGGAAAAAATTATATTTACAAAAATCAACTTCTTGTTTCTGTTTTACCTATTCCCAAGTCCACGATGCATAATTTTACACAAACCCAATTACATAGCTCAGTGATTTACTGGCAAAGCTGGCCAGGAGAAAATTATCTGGCTTTAGCTAATGTGTGTGCCTATTTACAGTCAAAACAAATCCACAGAAAACTGCAAAATGGCCACAAAGAAAAAAAAAATATATATAGTCAAGGCAGAAATGCACCAGAGGTGACACAGTTTGCAAGCTGAAAAAAGTTCACCTTATTTTACAATTTCACTGGGTAAGCAACAAACTGTGGCTACGAGATCCAGCCTTTCGGATCATGCACTGTTTATTCATTCCAGGATTTAACTTTAAGCACATCTGGAGTTTCACTGGCTTGGAAACCGTGGTGTTTTCTTTTTTGCCCTTTCCATCATTTTTTTAAGGATTAGTTTGCACAGTTAATGGGTGCACGGACTGGCTTCAACAGGATTACTCAGCTGTTTGGTTACCCATGGTTGGAGCAGGTTTTTTTTTTTACTTACGGGGCTACAAAGGCATCAGCCCACAGTTACAAACGGGGTGTGATCAGATATTGGTGTCTTGGAGATGAAAATAACACTGCAATAACAGCAGAGTATGATTTATGCTGACAAATCCTACTTTTTTGTTGCTGTTGAAACATTTCTGACCCAACAAAGCCAGCCTGGGGTGGGGGGGAGGTAGGGTAGCATAGGATTTTTTAATTTGTATCAAGTGAAAAAGTCAAAAGGGAAAAGTCAAAAACATAAATCAAACCTTTAGGATATTTGAGAGCATCACAGATAATTCCAGATTATTGTACATCTTTCCCCTGGAATGACCACTTGGCACAACTCAGGGGGTTTGGTAGATGTGGCCCAGAGTCCATTTACTCACCTCCAAGCAACAACTTCCTAAAAATACAGCAGATTGCAAATATGCTAAACCCCAAATTTCGCTGTAATTGCATGTGCCAGCACTAAGTCCTGCATCAATAAGAAACCCCACTGATGTCAGCAGGACTTGTGACAACACAAGATTTCCCTCCCTCAGTAGGGCTCTAAAACCGGATCCTCGGTTGGTATATTTGAATTCTGTGGATTATATATGATTAAACAGATTTGGATTAAACCCCAGCACTGGGCTGTCTCGTGGAGAACACGCTGTCAGGGCCACACTGATGAGCAGTGATCAAGGTGACCTTCCAGACTTTTGCAACCCAGAGCAAACTCTGAGCAACTGCAGTGAAGGGGAGTCCTTTTTAACCCCGCACAGAGCAGGAGATGTCAGGAGTTAAAATGCCGCTTTCCTGAGGAACAGTTTTCATGCCTTAAAACCCTGACTCAGGTGACAAAGGGCAATCTTTCTTGCATGAGAAAGTTAATCTCAACTCAACTACTTGAGCTGAGATCAGGATGGAGAATAGGGCTGGTTGAGCCTTGTCTTAACAGGCAAGAAAATTCAAGTGAAGGGGAACAACACCTAAATAAAGAAATCCATCGAACAGACACCAAATCCCAGCTCACCCTCCATTGCATCACTGCATTATCTCACCTAATTTTTTTTTTAAATGTCACTATGAAACCTTACTTTTTATTACTCTTATTAGTCTTCATTTCACTCAAAAATACAGACTATAATCTCTTAGATAAATGTGCATTTGGGTTAACCATAAATGAGAGAAACTAATTTCTTCCTCACTGGACGACACAGCTGAGAATAGAGCTTGGTGAAACAACTCTACAATAACTTCCAGCTCACCAGAGCTGAGTTTTAACTCCAAATGCTTCACACAACTCCAGGATTCTGGAGTTCTTTGATTCCTCAGCAGCCTGGGAGGATCTGTCTAGTGGATGCTGATACAAGTCCTCATGTTTAATGAGGGTCACATTTAGCAAAAAATGGCCACAGAGGTCATGCTGAGGGAGGAAGGAAAAAGACCTAAAGGATATAAAAGGGGGGAAAAAAAAGACCCAGGTTGCCAAAGTCTGAGGGTTTGGCAGAGGAACAGAGATATAACCTAATCAGCAGCACAGCTTTCCTGCACCGCAGCTCTCCAAGTGCCGTGCAGAGCTCCGTGTCTCTCTCCTTCAGATTCAGCAGCCCAGAAGTTCCTGGATCCATAGATAACATTGAAGAGGGGGAAAAAAAAAAAAAAAAAGGAAAAAAAAAAAAAAAAAAAAGAAAAAGTGATAATAATGGGAATACTTTTCTAGAGTTTACTTCAAGTTCTGCTCAAAAAGGCTTTTAGCCCAAGATACCACATGAAAATTTCCAAAGGCTTGCTGGGGGTGGGAAGCTGTTACATAATCCATTAACACTCCTAATGGCTTGTGCTGCATTCCCTCTCCCGTGGACACTGCAGGAAACTTTGTGCTCTGAACCTCTGGGTTCACACCTGCCTTGAAGGACTTGGCCTGTGCAGCCAAGTTGTGGTGAAGCCACAGGTCTGGAAACTTCCTCCCCTTTAACATCCCTCCTCGAAAGGAGCCCCCACCCCATCCTCTCCTCCACCAAGGACATTTTTAGTAAGATTGCTGTGCAGCTAATTACATTACCATGGCATCCAAGTACCACACAGTCACGAGACCTACTTCTTTTAACAGCCCTTGGGCTTGTGGAGAGGAGCTAATAGGGAAACATCCTTATATTTGGAGAGCTGAGGCACAAGGTCAATGCATTCGCCCAACGTCCCTGCAGAGGAGGCTCTGGGCAGGAAATTACTCACTGTGGAGTAGCTGCCAGAGTGGACTGGGTGCCAAAGCAGCTGCATGGCCACCAATTTAACCAACCACCGTGCCCTCAGAGCTGCTCTCAGGAGACAGTGCTGGGATTCCAAAAGGAAACCTTGAGCAAATAGAGCCAAATAACTGCTCACCACCTGCACTCTGCAGCCTCCAGAGCCAGCCCTCACAGCACCACCAGCCCTCACAGCAGCACCAGATTCAGCTGGTGGCCCCAGAGTCCTTCCTGTGGACCTTGGTGGTTCTTTTGCAAAGGCAATGAGATGCTGGAGCAGCCTGTCCACAGGCAGAGCTCACCCTGCAGACAGGAGAGGTGCAGGGGCCCACAGTGAGCACCACAGACCACAGGTCTGTTGGCTCTGCACAAATTCTGTGGCAAATGCCAGGGAACCAGGATTTTTATCAGGGCCACCCTCCCCAGCCCCCTTGTCCAGCCTTGGGGCTGTGTTGCCCTGTGTGTTATTCCGATGGTGTTCCCTGACTCTGAGTTTCCTACAGACGATGGTCTGAAATGAGACACTCCCAAGTGTCCTGACTCCTGTGACCTTGTCTGGAACTTGACTTATCTGAGACAGCTCCTCTGATCCCTTTCAGCTCCTCAAGAGCAGAGCACTGCCTTGAAGAGCTGTTTTCTCCACGCTATTCCTCTACACTGACCCGAATTGCTCTTTATTTCTAATTTCTCTCACCAATTTCCCTCATCCGGTTCCATTTGCTTCCTCTAACAGACTCTCTAGTTACACCTGTGATACTGCAAGAGTTTGGTCATGACTTGCTGCAGCCTGTTGTTTATTTGCCTGTTCCTGCTATTGGGTCAGTTTAAACCCCTGTGTTACCTTCGGTGTCCTCACCTCTCACTGCTCTGCTGTGAAAATGTTTCTTCCTGTACACTTGCACAGCACTTTCACCAGATAATTATTAAATATATGTATATGTAAAGCAACCACAACACTTGGAGTGGGGGGATTAAGCCCCTCTCCTGCCCAGTCCCACCTCCAGTCACTCCACCAGCACAAGCTTTCTGATGGAAACAGGCTCAACCACAGCAGTTTGACAGGCTCCTAATTTATTCAATTAACAATAAACTCACAGTGCTGAGTCCTGGACCTGTCAGCCAGCTGAACTGAGACAACCAGCTGAATACTAAGATCTATTCTGCCACTGAACTACCTCAGACCTGAGGGCTGCTAAAAGGGAGAGTGGACCCCAAACAGCAGGAGGGAAGGACTTTGGCCGAAGGTGTAACCCACTGGAGAGCTCACAGAAGTGACCAAACTTGTTCAAACCTTTGCCAAAAAACCATGGATGTCGCGTTGTCAGGCTGCTCTACATTACTCAACATGCAATCCTTGCTGTGGCAGACAGATTAATTAACAGAGATAACAGTAACAGTGGTATATAATCATAAAAGAGAGCTGAAACCACGAAGGACTACAGCTTCCCTGTGGCACAGCAGTGATTTTTTTAAGTGTCCAGTCCCTTTTCAACAGTATTTTTAGAGGAATAGCAGTCAGCCAGATACAGCCACGGATAATCAGTGCTGGATAAAGAAAACCCTTCTCCTGACAATCAGCATCTACACTTTAAGCTGCAGAAGAAACAGCTGCCTCGCTGTTCATTAGAGAAGGGATTTGCCAAACACCCTCCCTGATGCTCTGTTATGCAAGGTAGTGCTGTGTGTGTTCTCTCCTTCCACAGAGATGTAGCCTAAAAGCAGCCGTATTTAGTCCTCCCATCCCCCTAAATCTTCCCCACAAAGGACACTGTCACCACCAAAGCTCTGCAACAAGGATCGTTTATATATCTGACAACCTTTAAACCCCCAAAGAAAGGGAAAGGGAAGCAGCAAAGCTCTCTGAAGAGCTCTTTGGTGGAACAAGCAGAATTATGAGCAGCAGGAGAAATATGAGTAATTAAGACAACAGTATATCTATATCTTACAGCTGACAGAGTGAAGCTGCAAGTTAGCTCTGGGCAAGATGTTAGCAGAGGAAAGAACTGAGCAGCCTGTTTCTAATGTTAGTGTTGAAAAGCCAGCCCAGGAAAAGGGCTAAAGGGACAATTTCATTAAAAAGAAGGAAGTAGGCTGGATT